ATAGATTCTGTACTACCATTGACTTCTTAGAAAGGAAGTTCAGAGATGACATGGCCTATAATATGCAATTCTGCATCAGAAACAGAAGTTTGGTAGTTTGCTCAGCAGATGCAAGATGGTTTTGCAGTGTGGGTTTGACAGAACAAAAAGAAGTCATTGGCCCAAAATGATCGGCGGACCAGCACAAAATGTGTAGCCAGAGGACTGCTGCCTATCGCATGACATAAATTATTTGCAAGACTAACAGTAAATATTTTGCCAAGAATTGCTTCAAGGTCCTAACATTGGGTTACTGCCATTAGTGATGCAGGGTCCAAGCATGCAAGAGAAATGCTCTTTACCTACATCATCTTGCAGTCATAGCGAGGGTGACGGTATGTCACAACAAGGCCTCTGTCGCTGTGGGATGGCATCTGTAACAGCAATGTTGTGCACTATTTTCATCTGTTTTTAACACTGCATTATTTATTCTTCTCGTCAGTAAGTGATTGGTTTCCCGATATTTACAAGCCTATTTCCAGCCTAAGATGGGAGCCATAGACTCTTCTTTCTTTAGAAAGCACACACTCAGCAACTCATTTTGCTGCTGAATTATGTTTTTAACAAAAGTCATACAGAAAAAAAGATAGAAGGAAAAGCCAAGCAACCAGACCTGGAAGCTATGGCCATTATATCATCTAACTGTTCACAAAACCCAGAACTCATGTGTGAGCGTTCATGCCAGACACTGTGGAACAGGGAAATAATATCAAACTCAAATTTCAAGCTTCATCAGACAAACATCATTGGCTTCCTTTGCTCTTACATGTCAGGCACCACTGTTTACACTACATACAGCTGGAAGATTTATGTGCAAGTGGATTAAAGAGAACATGCCCTTCCTGATTCATACCATGACTGGCCAGTGAGTCCCAGATTTCCTTAGTAACTCTTTTGGCTGTGAGACATAGTACCCTCGAAATGAAACTGTTCAGGCTGGCAGAGACACAAAGGTCACTGGAAATGACTACAAATGTGGTAGCAGAGCTGAAGATGGCTGTGCTGGCCATCACAGTTCTCAGGTAATTAATCAGCAACTGAACCCAGTTCTGTCAAATTATTCTGTTGGTTTTGGCTAAGGAGTTTTGCCAGACTTTGCATGTGGTACAGTCTGATCTGCTAACAACCTCTGAGTAACAAAAGAGGCTGATCTTCTAGATCTCCTCACAGAACTTTTCTCCTTTTCTCCTGGTGATCTAGTGACCTCAGGCCATGAATCCTGAACAATGGAAGTTCCTGCTCAGAAAATAAAAAAGTGTATTAAATTTTGAAAACTTTAAAGGATTCTCCTACATTTTCCATGTTACAGCTGAGTTGGAAATTGACACTTCTACCATTTTGCATAGCATGTCTAGGATTTATATTTTTAAACAAAGTTTTCAGACTACAGGTTTGGGAGCTGGCAGAAAGGTTTTAAGTGCCCTCTGCCTGACTTTCAAGTGGATAGGGAGTAGTGTATGAAAATTACAGCTACTGAGTATCTCTTAGTTTGTCTGGGAAGGCAGACACTTATCACTGAAAGCCATCTTCACAACTGCATGGATGGGAGAGGAAGAGAGAGGAAAAAGCGACTTCGTGGAGACTTCATGGAGAAATTCAAAGTACAGTGCAACACTGTGCATGGGAAGTATGTCAGATCTGATGTCTTCTCCTGCCCACTGAAATGGTTGTTTCCTTGCTCTATTTGGTATTGGACAAACTAATTACCTTAAAAACTGTATTTTGACATCACCATGAACAAATTTCTAAAATGAGTGGGGATTCTAAATGTCCTCAGTAAATGTGTAGTCTTTCATGGAATCCTGTAAATGGTTATAGATACACGTGGGAAGGGCACCTAGTTGTTCAGTTAAATCTCTGTCCTGAGCTTCCATCCTATGCTCTGGGTTGTCATTATGGGACAGGAAGACAAGGAGGAAAAAGATATCTTTATAAATACATATTCTGCTACTTAAAGCAGGACATACTTCATGCAATATAACCTGTATTTGTCACAGTCCATAAATCTCATTTCTAAAATGTCTCCCTAAACATAATAAGGTACAGATGGCACTTACCATAATGAGAGTCCTTTTCTCTTTCTTCAGGTTGCTTCTTGTGTCCATTTCAAAGTGTGCTTGAGGTGCCCCTTAGCTCATTCAGCCATACAGACTTGTGGGTTTCAGTGAAGCCTGATTCTGAGGCTCTGTCACAATCTCTTCCACAAGTGATCCCATCCCACTATTTTTAGCCTAAAAATTGGACTGCTGTTGGAAGGACAGAGCTTTTTGTCTGGAGAAGTTCATTACAGAAGTCCATTAGAGAAGGACCTATACAAAATGTATTGTTGGACTTGAAACACCATCCCTTGACCTTTAGTACAGATTTTTAGATAATTTTGCATGAAAGCAGAGCAACTGAATGGCCCTGGGGATTGAAATATATATGGGCAGAAAGACCCTGGTGAGCAAATAGGAAGTAGAGGCAAGAAGACAAAGGAAGACAAAGGCGGGGTAACAGGTGGTGGTGGTGGGCTGCCCAAACACTATCTTCACTCTGTGCATGGGGTAAGTCGGGGAACTTGGCATGACTTACTATGTGCTCAGCTCTAAAGCACACTGAATTCAGCTTGTGTTCAGACTGTCCCTCCCAACCCATGTGTTCATGACCCCCCATCCCAAGACATTCTTCTGTTTGAAGCAATGAAGAGAATAAGGCTTGGTCAACGCGCACAGGCAGACAGTCAGACAAGAGTTTGCACCTGCTCTAAAAATTTCCACATTGGTTCCTTAATGAACCATAAAAAGCAATGGGCAACTCTGCCCTTAACAAGAATAGAAACCTTGGCGCTGTGCATTAAGCCACTAACTACAATTTTTTTCTCATGTCATGCTTTAGAATTTCAGTCACTCCCTGCAGAGGGTAGTTATGATAATTTTCTGGCTAAGCATGGACATTGCCTACAAGATTTCATTAATTTTTTCCTATAAATCACACACTGGATGAGATGAATAAGTATTTTGAAGAAGTACTACTTATCTTCTTTGTTAGGTTTGCACATGATATTACATCTTGATCATATGACTGGAGTATACTATTAAACAAGATCTGAGACTTGGAGAAAACACTTTGATATACACATCTAACCAAATATCTTGGTCATATTATTTCATTGCACTGTATTATTCTTGGCTCAGTAGGGAGCTTTCTGTGAAGCTGAATGGCCAATAAGGTACAGAAATCCACATTGTTTATCTAATGGTCTATTTTTTCTTCAAATCTTTGAAGTGAGAAGTCTGTGGTTCCAAAAGTGCTCTTTTGAAATCAATAGCCCACTTGTGGCATTAAGCGCCACTCAACATGGATAAGTGTGACCACATGTCCTGTCATATATTTCAAAAGGAAATGTTTTAGTTGCAGATTTTAAACAGATTAGGTATCCTGGCGGTAGCTCATGTTAGTAGAAAACATATCTGATGACTAAACTTAATAGCTGTTTAATTGACTAGATTATGTGACTATAAATTTTCTTTCTTGAGTCAAATTATCACTGCTAGTTCTAGCTGCATTATAATACACTCCACATAAACTTGATATATTTGTCATTTAGTTGCCTGGAAAATCAACTTGCAAAGAAATTACAGGTTAATTCAGATGATATGAAGCAATGTCATAGCAGAGAGATTTCCAGCTAATTACTGTTTTTACTTCAGAGGCAGTATCTCCTGTGACAATTCACTCTTGAAGCAAAAGATGAGCTGAACTCTTTTCAAAAAAGTTGGAGTACATTTGACAACATGAATATCTACCTACACAATGACATGATGGCTGCAGCTATTAATGTATAATTACTTGAAAGTGTTGTTAAAGTGTACTTGATGGGGTTCACATTTAGGTGTGAGAAATCCTTTTAAATATACTTCACTTGTTATAAAAATACTTATAAAGTATTTTTTATCAGCTCCAGTACCACTCACTACAGCAGTTCTGGAGCTGAATGTAATTCTGACAGGCATTTTCACCAGCAAAGCATTCAACAAAAATAGATGGTTAAACAAAAAAGCGAGTGTAAGGTCCTCTGGTCTTTGGATTGTAGAACCCTGTATGTATACATCACTTTCTTGCCCAGTGGGAATCACATGAACTCAGTTAAAACCTGTGTCTTTTCTTGTCAAAATTTCATTTGCCTTTCCACAGTCTTACAAGTACTCTTAGCAACCCATAAAAGCACTTTGTGAATAAAAGTCTGAAGCACCCTTTCGTCCTCCAGCTTAACCGTGAAAAAGATGTCATTCCATATTTAGTAAACATGGATCAACTGTCAGATTAATGGATGAGTGCATGTGGTGTATGTGTATAAAAAAAGAGGTAATTTTTGTTGCCTCATTTTAGTGACACAATATAAGATGTGAATGTGATTTTTTTCCCATTATTTCACATTGTAAGGACATAAGATAAATTTCCAAACTTATCAATTCTGAGAGTTGCTGAGAAAGTAACTGGCTGAAAACAGATAGTTTCAGCATTCTGGCATGTCATTCCCTTCTACAGTTTACCTTGATGGTGGATGCAACCAGAAGCAGGTATTTACCATCACAACTACTTTTTTTTTATTTTCTTCTGGTTTTTCTCAAATCATTGTAAAGGCAATAAATATGAGATGCCCCTGAACACTTCTCACCAGTAAAGAACTGCAAAAACAAGTTCAGAATGACATCAGCTAGGAAAATAAAGTAATTGCTTGTAAAAAAATACATTTACTTTGCACCGATTTTAAAAACTATCTGCTTAAAAAATTTTTGCTTCATTTGAATAACTCTGTATGTAACATCTGACTGCTATTATTACTTTTTGACAGCTTTTTAAAGTACTGTGAGATTTTGTAAAATTTAATGTGGAAAATAAAACTGGAAATTTATATGAAAAACTAAGAGAGAAAAGTGTACTTTGAAAAAAAATAATGTAAAAGTACAAATGCTTACCTTTGTGTTTGGGTAGCATAACTGTTATCATATGCCTCATAGCTTGGATCATCATATTCACCCCCATACCCATCGTCGTATCCCTAAGGGAAAAACAGAACACAGCTTAGAAGAGTGATAAATCAAAGGATATTATCAAGCTGTGAAAATAACTTGCATCAACATATGCATGGTGTGTTTGCTCAGTATTGTGTAAAATATGTGGCTGATTGAAGAGAATTATGAATTGTGAGGCACAACCTGTACAGTGCAAGGGTAAAGAAATCAGTTACTCATTTAAGAACTCAGCTTATTCACTGATAAACTGTGGTGCATTGTCCAAACCACAGTGCTCCAGTGGGATCTGTGTAGAATACTGATGAATGATAATAAAAATAATAATCTCCTGGCAGTCTGTTATATAAATAGTTCCATAAATACCTATAGGTGAAATGAACAAATGGTAGGTGTATTATGCTATTAAAAATGGTATTGTGACAAAATCTTAATATTTAATCTATTAAAAAAAGAAAAAACAACCCAAAACATAACAACCTATGAGAAACTATATTCGCAAGCAAGTAATGCATTATGATATTTTAAAATAACTTAGAGTAAGCACCTTTTCCTTCACTGAGCATCCCACTCTTTTTAAAGTCAGGCTTTTCTGTGACAACCTAACAAACGTTTCAGTACAGGTTCCTCCCATCTAACTTAAGGGTCCTTACTGAAGAACTCAGACAAATGCTCAGTCTGCCTAAGGTAGAGAGACATAAGTGACTTCAGAAGGTGGTTCAGTTCATCTAATGTCTGAATATTCCACTGAAGGAACCATGGGTAGTTATGATCCATTGTAGCTGACTCTGAACCCAAGAGTGCTCAGGAACCAGACAATAAATAAATAAATAAAGATACAATCCAAGGATGCCTTTTAATATGCTTTTCTTGTATGACAGGACAACAGAATAGGCAGGAAGAAGGCTGTATGGAAACATTTTTTTTCTTCTCTATGATTTTTAGGAGCCAGTATTTTTAGTTAAATAGAAATTAAACATTTTTTTGTCATAAGGAAACCCATTAAGGAAAGTGCTAAAGGAAATAGGAGACTTAAAAATCTTTTACTCAATATTAATTACAGCAGAAGGCAACTTTTTCCCTCCCACAAGCTATGCAAAATTTAGACAGATTTGGGCAGAAGGGACAGCATGATGCAGCTTCAAAATAGCAACAGTCCAATAAGCAATCACTCTAGTACACTATCATAACCATCCAAAGTACAGTGTTGGTTTGGTACTTCATTATTTCTGATAAATAAACTCTATAATGCTATTGAACAAGACTTCACTGGCACTCCCAAATTAAAGAAAACATTAAATGGAGGAAGCATTCAGTTATGTCTCCTCATATTAAATATCAAACATATTAAATCTGCCTGTTCCTCTGGTGTACCCGGCAACGAGGACAAGTGTGGATTCCAGGTGGGAGAGTTCATCCCTGTAGTGCTGTATGGCCTGAAGGAACGACAGGACTCCAGATGATGACCTCACTTCTCAGGCACCAGGTCAGCTTGCAGCAAGGGAAAGCCTTTCTGAGCAGGAGGGAGAGTCCCATTTTGGGACTGGGGAATGGCCTCCTAGAATCTGAAGTCCACACGAACCTCATCATCTTCCACTTCAGGTGGAAGTGCAGCAGTTTGACTTGTTAATATTAGTAATAGGTCCTTAATCTTCATTCGCAAAGCCTAGCCATGATTCGTAATAGTTAATATTAGTATAAACTCATAGCAAAAAGTACTGTTAAAAACATATCCCTGCACACTACAGTGATATATTGAATATTAGATAGCTACATACACAATCTTGCTTCTGAGGATAGGATGAAAGAAACAGTGAAACCCAGGAGACAGATGTTAGCCACATGAATTAGTATGCTACTGGGCAGGATCCTGCTACCGTGAAGAAGAGGATGATGCAAGTTCCTATATAAAGTCAAATAGCTAGAGGAAAGACATTTCAGCCTGCTTACCCACCATATGAAAGAATGGGAAAAGCAACAATTACAAATTAGCTTTCAGTTTTTTGATGCCTGAGATGGATCAATGTTCAGCATCAGCAGGGCAGAGTACACTTGTTAATATTTGACATCTCTGTGGGTTCATGTTATAGATTTTAACAGCCTCCCTAAAGGCTCAAAGTATGTAAATACAGTGCAAATGGTTCAAGTGGAATGGCTGGAAAACAGAGACAAAGTACAAAAGCACAATATCTCTTTAATAAAGAAAAACTATTTTCTGCATAATTTTCATTTATTTGTATAATTCTGTATGAGAATTATCTTCTAATCCTACAGGTGAAGTGTTTATGTAAGGTACATACACACAGTTATTAAAAGTTTAATATGATGTATTGTACCCAGACACCTACCAAGCCTTTAGGTGTCTAGAACTGAGACCTGAAATAGCTCCTTTCACATCCTTAAAGTGTCTTAAACTCACTGAGCATTTTTCTTCTCTTTAACATTCAGCTCCCAAGAACCTACGACTTTAACGTTTGAAAGTATTTCTTGGATGGGCACTTTGAGAGATGAAACACCCAGCTCCCACCTGCTGAGATCAAAAGCTATGAGTTTAATGGTGTCCAAATTAACATATTTTGCGCCCTCTGTGTGACGAGAAGGGTGTTCCCAAAAGCAATTCTGTATAAACCCAGAGACCAGAACCCAAGATGACCTCTCCAAATGCAGTGCAATTTTCTACTCAGCACCAAAGTCAGACTACTTCATGCATTCTCTAGGTCTGTTAGGTCTTATATTAAAAACAAGCAAACAAACAAACCGTATTAAATTGATAAATGTTTTTTATATATATGGTGATAGGAACAGAGCCTTTCTCTTAGAAAAACTAAGTTACTAGTGTTTGCTTTACCCTCAACATATTGAAGGAAAAAGGATTACCTACACTGTCAGTGATTTGAATATGACATTTGTTCTTCTAAAATTTCTACAGTTTCATTTATTTCACTAGAAATCTTCACACATATGTGTATAACCTTTAGACCTTCCCTCCTATGTTAAGTTCTAACGCCTTTTCATTGAGGTCTGTGCTTTTCAAGCAGAAATACTCTCGGATAAAGTGTCTTTAGACATGATCTGATCAAGATCTCCACGTTAGTCAGAATATTAGAAAACTTGTATAAAAAGTTGATAGGTTCGAGCCATTTAGTTTCAGTGAAGGAGAAGAAAGCAATTCCCTAAATTTTCAGAGTTCTTTGATGAGGCTTATGAGGGTGCAAATAAACATAACCTGAGGGAAACCATCTTTTGAAAGTTACTGATGAATTTTGATTCTCAGGGATATTCAAGGGAATGTAGTTGGATGCCTGGGAAGACTCTTTTCCTGTGTAGGAATGGTAGCTGCCACCACCATTCAGAATAAAAAGCCTACTACAATGAACTGAAAAAAATGCAATGGGAAACTTAGAAACAGTCAATGTCAAATGTCGATGTCAATGTCAAATAACAATAGCCATTTCTAGGCTAAGTTTTTGTGCCAGGCTATCTTTTCTCAGGTATTTCTTACTAAAACAACTTTCCCAATCATAAAAAAACCCAAAAAGACCTCTTCAGTTTGTCTCAGGGAAAGGAAAGTTAGTTTTCCAATGTCTAAGATTTGGACTGGAGACAAAAGAACAGAAATGTACATTTGAAGCTGCAGTGGGACTAAGAATGTTTATAAATAATTATGGATGATTTTGAAGAATTTTGGTATTGTTAAGAGTTGAAAAATAATAAAAAGATGAAAATTAAGAAAAAACTTAATAGAGTTCAATTTAAAAAAAAGATTAATTTGAAAATTAGCGAATATAAATATTTACCAGTCTTTCCCCATAAAGTGAAGACAAGAAAAACTCTTAGAAGAATCTCAAAACAGCATCTGAAATTAGCATTAGGAACACTCAATTCAGGAGGAAATATTCAATACTCCACTACTGATAAAGAAAATTATACTCAGGGGCAAAAGGGGTGTACAAGCCAAAAGGGACATATTTTGAAAAAGGCTTATATTCTACCACCTGAGAAAAAGTTAAGTATCAATTTGATTCAATACTCAAAATACCATTGAGAAGTATTTATTTTAACTATTTAGATTTACTCAAATCTTCTTAAATTTTCAGATGCTGAAAGAGATATTAGAAATACAAACAAAATTTTAAGTATCATTAGTTACAAGAGTATGATAATATAACACAATCTGATCTCTTTAAACTTGAACTTACTTCATAATGTTAAGATCCTGTTTCAAACAATAACAGCCCACACTCAAATGCACCAAGTTTAAATCACCTCTTCTTGAATAGCCTTAAAAATCAGATTTTTCAGAACACTGAAAAACTCTGTGAAACCAAGAAGGACAATATTTCTAATACTTCTAATGAAAGCTGCTTTATTCACAATATTTTAGGTATGTCCTAGTAATACATAATAAAATACAATGTAAGAAAGTTGAAACTTATTTGTTTTTTATAGAAAATAGCCCAACTTTTTTAAAAGTAGCAAATTTCAAAATATTTAGAATTAATTAAATAGATAAATAAGCAAAACACAAACAACAGTAAGTCAAACTTTACTTGGCAAATATGTGAACAAGAAAAATGTGCTGCTGGATAACCAGAGTAAGCCTTCCAATTAGCTGCATCTAGCAGCACACAAAAAGTAGTACTGTAGCTCATGAGGGAGAAGGTGAGGGTATAAATACCCACCTCTAATTGTAACTATTAAGTAGAAGAAGTTGTTTCTCAGAAAAGGGATCTTTGCTGAGTTTTCAGTCTTTTCTTCACCTTGCTTCTTTGTTGCTGTCTCACTCTTTTCTGTTGTGACTTGGCCACATTCCTACTTTCTCACACATCTGTATCACCTTAGCTTAGAAGCTAAAAGCCAGTCATTTACCAGTAATCTGGCAGTAGATTCCCATAAGATTCACAGGGTAGAAATAAAATATTTTTAGACGATAATTAATACTTTTTAGACATATCTGAAAACAAGTTGAACCGCTCTTTAAATGAGAACTTTCTTTCCGGTAACTATAAAGGGAGCCTGGGATGTATGT